AAACAAGCAGACAATAACGAGCGAAAGCAAAAGCAGAGCAACGGTCGTGTACCTGGGGTTCACCTACCTTGCGGCCTCCTACGGTGTTCCAGATGGCGCCGCATCAAGGATATGCTAATGCCGGCTAGCGCAGCCGAGATTACATTGCGCGGGGATGCACACACGGATACTCTCACCTGGTTTTATTATTATTATTATTATTATTATGTCTCTGATGATGGATTCGAGTAGGAATCCGAAACGTCAGGCTAATAAAGCTCTTGTCCCGGCGATCGTGTCTCCTTCTTCAATAATTTTTATTCAAGATCCGTGGGGGTCCTATCATAGCAACTTTCCGGTCAAGGCGGTTACCGGGGTGTAGTCGCTAGGCAGAGCCTAGCTTCGGGAGCCAATAACTGGACGCTAGGCGTTTTCCACCTCTGCCAGCAAGCGAGCGACCTACCACGACCGTCACGTGGACTTCCGCCGGACACCACTACACCTCCCCTTTCGGGCCATTACACCACGTAAACTGTCCCAGGCGTTTACTGCTGTGGGGGCGTCTCTTCCGGCCTGATTACGTGGCGGAGGATGACTCGTGCAGTTTTTCGCTTATGGTAACAATTGTCAGCATTTGAGTCCGCTTCAGTTTGGTCCTGTCGCGTCTTTGTATGCATCGGCTGACAGATCTGCGCCGATGGTCACCTACCCTGCATTCCACTTAAAGGTATTGGAATTAATCAAACTCGTTTTGTGGCTCAACCTGCCGCTGAAGCCCATTTATGTAGCTGCATTTGTAGCCGATTTGCTAGTTGTTATGGAGGCTCTGTGCCTGTGTCGTATTTATGGCTTTTCTGAACAGTGGTTATGAAACCATTACAGTCCCTACGAAACGAGGACAATAAGGTCAGCTGTTCATGCCCCCCCTCCTCCTCCTCCTTCTCCTCTCTTTCCATCGTGAGTCATATCGCTGGAAAGACGACGCTTAGACTCTGTTCGATGATGAAGCCTGGAATTTCATTTCGTGGTTCCGGATGGCCTGTGACTCCAATTTAAATGGTCGTCCAGGTTGTAAGCCCGGAAATCGACGACTCACTGGCGGGCCTATCGCCCGTCCGTAGATTTTCCCGTCAAGCGTGAAGTGCCTACTGATACGGCCTCAGAAGCTAGAAGATTTAGACGCGTTCGGGATGTCCCCTCTCCCATCATCATAATCTCCCTCACTACTATCTTTTCCCAATGCAGGCCTTGCCGCCCTTTTCTCATATATTTGGCACTAATGCCTCCCACATAGACATTGTAGCCGTCCTGTCTCAAATGAATGCAGAAGGACTGGGGCTAGAACTTTTTTTTGCGATTTAGACACTGACTTCAACCAAGTAAACTTGACAGTCGTTTAGCCATTACTTCTCTGTCTAGCCGTTGGTTCTACGCAAGCTTTATTAGGCCCTCAGGTGGGGCTCAGAAACGCCGTCCTGCTTGGCGAACAAATAATCACTTTCGTACTATTATTGATTTCAGTAGGTGGTGAACATGCATCGATTTTGCACTATTATTGACTTCAGAAGGTGTAATACTGCTAACGAATGACGGTGCCGACGATCTCTTTGTTACAGTGTATTCCAGAAATCGCAGCCGTATATGTTAAACGATAACTTTGCGGACAGTCCCACGTTATGTATTCCCTCATTCTCCGTGGGAACTCGAGATAGGTCCTCAGAGTCCTCATTAGCGGCATCTCAATTCAATTCTTTTCTTAAATTGGGCGAAACCTCACCTCTTACTTCCGCACTTTTACCTGTCGGCATTTCTTTATTCCGGTGGGTTCATCCTTCGGTTTATTTCAGTGTTGAGGTTTCTAGGGAAGGTAGCACGATTGTAGCCACTCATCTCGCCCCTTGAGCCTTCTACTACTAAGTAGCTGATATAAGAGAAGGGCATAGCGTAGCGCAAACTTTGACGACTGATTCGCCTGTACCTTACTTCCTCTTTCTATTTATAGCGATTAGTCGATCCAGCTCCGAGCCAAAATGGTGTAGGATGGCTGGGAGGCTGGATAGTCACTTCTGACACCTTCGGTGTATGAGCCAGGAAAGAAGGAGGACCACCGGCTGTGATGTGGTTTTGACGTTTTTTTGCATCACGTCTGTTATGCATGCAAAACAGAAGGGTAATTGGAAATAAGACGTGTACTGAGTACGATAGACAGCGCAAGTCTGGACGCTTGGGGAAACGGCCGAGCATATGGCAAGGGGGACTGTCATAGGCTGATGAGCGGCCAATCAGCACAAAGAAGGTGTGAACAGGGGGCATGGCCTTGATCGTTCGCTTGTCACGCGTTTATGGCATGATGCCCTGACTGCCCGGACAGGATACGCTGCATCCCTCCATCCGAAAGTGGAGAGCATGAGGAGGAGGGAGAACAGTAAAGGTAATAGTGGATAGTTAGACAATGTTCTAATAAGATTCGTCCTGAAAGCGTTGGACAGGTTTGCAGATTCGGGTCGATCTTCTCAGAGCGGTATTTTCTACCTCTGCGCCGCTTTGTGCAGTCACTGGATCCTCTGCCCCTAAGCTAGTGCTGGCCGGGGCAGAAGGAGGAGGAGGAACATACGCCTCGATCGGTGGCGTAGTGCTCTGTGCAGGCAGTAGGTGTTTAGTCCGACTTTCTTGCAAAACTGGCGTACCGTCTTCTGGTGTCTACAGTCTGACCACCGGACATGATGCTGACCACAAAGGTAGCAGGATGGTAATTGTTTTGAGGGAGCTGAGGGTCGCTGTTTAGGTGAAGACAGCAGTATTGACTAGAGAGACAACCATTTCAGATTCCAAGGATGTTATCAATCCATCGTTTGACTGATTCAGCTGGTGAAGGTTTTGTTGCACGCGTTCCCGATGACTGGCGATATCGCAGGCTTTCTCCCATGACTAATCCTTCTTCTCTGATAAGAGATTTTCCCGAGCTTCTTCATCGCGCAGACCGACGATCAACTGCTGAACGAGCATTGTGTGCTCGAAGTTGTCTGCCTTGATCTCTTTATACCCACAGTCCTGGATGGCCAGGGTCAAATTAGTAATAAACTCACTGACACACTGACTGGATTCTTGACGCATTTGACAAAACCGATAGCGACTGAGAAAGACGTTATCTTTTCCTCCCCACGCTGACTCGAGTTTTGAGAAGGCTGTTTGGAGATCTATGGCCTTTTGTAGATTGAGGGCATCGAAATATCATTGTCGCAACTCTCTGAGATTCGTCCGGAGGAGTTTCAACTTAGATGGGACGTCTAGTGTAATTGTGGGTGACAAAATCGGGAGTAGTTCAATATAATCCTCAAATGTCTTCCTCCATTGCAACCACGAGTCATTTGTGGGCTTCTGGGTGTTCTTTGGCCAGAAAGGTAACGGTGTAGGCAGCAATGAAGACATGTTCGTTAGGCTGCGTCGCCTATGTTATGTACGCAAAACAGGAGGATAATTGAAAACAGGACGTGTACTGAGTACGATAGACGGTACAAGTCGGGAGGCTTGGGGAAACGGCCGGGCATATGACAAGGGGGCTGTCATAGGCTGATGGGTGGCCAATCAGCACAAAGAAGGTGTAAACAGGGGGCATGACCTTGATCGTTTGTAACGCCCCTTGGCACGAACAGAGTTGTTTGAATGTTGTGACACTTTTGGCGCGCGTACCTGGGATGGAGATGGCGTAACTGCGTGTTGGCGAAGACGGCCGGTGCCCCTTCCTCTCGCTACCGCCGACCCCCCTCCCGCAACTAACCGTCGCTCTCGATTCTCTCTCGCTCTCTCACTCAACGTCGGCTCCCCCGGCCCTTCCCTGCAGTTGCCGACAGCGCTGCATCCCCACTGACTGTTTAGCTAGTATCTCAGGGTCGTCTATCCATCCAGACAGGTCACCTATCCGCTGTTCCTCGTTGCTCGTGTACATTAACATTCGTTATATACATTCTTCATAATAGTTGTTCCATTACACAATATCCATACTCGACGTATTCTCTTCTTCTGCGTGTGAACGAGTTTCGAGAGATGTTAACAGTTCTGTTCAGGTCTACCTCTGTCAGTATCTCTTCTCGACGTTTCCTTACTCTGGTGTGTGCTACCCTTGACGTCCTCGGCCGCTACACGTTCGCTTGTCACGCGTCTGTGGCATGATGCCCTTGTAGCGGCCGAGGACGTCAAGGGTAACATACAACCACGTAACGGAATACCGGGGAAGAGATCCTGGCTTGTGTCGATCTGAATGCGATTGTTAGTAGTTCACGATACTCATCCATACATAAAGGAAGAAGAAACGATCAGTGGACGAGAACATATAATGAACAGAAAAGGAAATTGAAAAGGTGTATAATGACAGTTAGAAGTACAAACGGAACGAGTTACAACAGTCGAGTGACCTGTCTGGGTGAAGAGGCAAGACCAACATGCCTGCTGGAAAACCGGTGGGGAACGCAGCACTGTGGGAAACTGCAGGGAGGGGCCGAGGGGGTTGCTGATGTAGCGAGGGGGGCGATACGAGCGTTACGTCGCGGTACGGAGCGGGGGAAGGGGTCGGCCGAAGAGAGAGGAAGGGACACCGGCTATCTTCACCAACACGCGGCTACGCCATCTCTATCCTAGGTCCGCGCGCCAAAAAATTATCACAGCACTCAAACAACCCTGCTAAGATCAGGGGGCGTTACACCCTGACGGCCCGAACAGGATACGCTGCAACGTCCTCCGGAAACATTGTTCATTTTGTTTAAGCCGAAATAAGCATTCTTTATCGTAACTTCTGCAGCGGATTGGTGTTTGTATGTCTGGGAATCACGCATACGTGATAGCATTTAGTCGCCCAGGGCCAGATATTTGCTGGCCCGTTTGACTTGCGGGCTAGTGCACGGCTAGTAACCTGACTGGCTGACAGTGCTCGATCTCTGCGAGGAATGGGGCTTTTCTGCTACACCCCCTTCTCGATTCTCACCCGAGTGCATTTCGCACGTCACGCCTGGGGGGTCCATTTGCGTGTACGCACGTGAGCAGGGTGCATGCACACACTTTGTCCGGGCTTTAGGTCCATGTCTGGCGACTTAAATAGCTTCGGGCTACAACGCCTTCAACTCGCCCGAGAAGGCGCGTTAACTTACTGTCTCCGTGTGGACAGTGTCCGCTAGGATTGCTGGAAAAATCCTGTCAGTCGCAACACTAGCCCGCGACCGGGCGACCGGGTTAGTCATGGGCGACTAGAATGCCATCTCACCAGCTGCGGTCTGAAGTATGTTATAATATACTTCAGGCCACAGCTGGTGAGATAGTCCGATTTATTGCAGTTAATTGTTTTAAGAAACATGTTGTGCGTCTTGTCGGATAGCTCGGCAAATAACTAACTTGAATTCCTTTATCAAGACTCTGTTCTGCTTGTCTTCGTTTGCTTCAATATTCTGGTCTGTCTTGCAAGTCCGCTGGTTTTTGAGTGGGCGATAGCCAGCGCCAACATTTCGAAATAGTGTCCTGTCACGACCCACCCGCTTAATGGTACCCTTTTGTCATCCAATAGTTTTATTTCCTCTTTCAGGGTCAAGCCTGAAGCCCACGATCAACACTAACATGGCCCCGACAGCAATCCATTTGTCTAATTATCCATCTCGTTCCCGCAACCGACTGCGTCTCCCTTGTAATCTTATTGTTAGGACTTGTCTCTTTCTGTCCGTTCCCCCTCCGCTGCTGTACCTCTTTTGTTATCTCGGTCGTTATGGCATCAGTAATCTGAGTTGCACTGCATTCGTTCGTCTTTTTCAGGACCATTTTTTTCTAATCTTTGTCCGCAGAGGTACCTAGGCTTTCAGAACGACGGTTTGTCTTGTCTCCACAAAAACACACCTTTTTTAATTTGGTCTAGTTACCATAGCATCTTGAAAAAATTGGCTTCAGGTCTTTGTTGTTATAAAGGGCAACGCTCCCCCTTTGGTGTTAGCAGATTACTTCGTCAGCCTTTTGTACGAGAGTGGATGCCATATGCGGGGAACTGTCGCAGTCGTAACTGATTACTTTCGTCTTCTGACGCCTGGCGTTTGTAGTAACGGGTTCTGTGACATTTCTGGCATGTGATACGTTGAAAGTCGACCACGGTGGGCGTATTGGTGTTCGCCCTTGTCTCGAAGCTGTCATGGTAATTCTCAGTCGTTCGGGTTTCAAGCGCTCCTATATGTTGCTAGCTGTTTGCAGCTTTCTTTGTATTACGTTCCGGTTACTTGCTTTATCTCGAATTTATCGCCCCTTATACCGAAAAATAGTAACCAAACTAGCCTTATTTGATCTCAGAAATAGGATTTCTTGACATTAAAGCGTTACTGGCTGATGCCAGCTCATAAGTTATTCCGGTTCTCTTTCTTGTTCGCCTTCAAGATTAATTTTGGTTTGCTAGGGCTCTAGCTTAGTTTACCGGACAACGAGATTAATGTCCTGCGATCTTTAGGTTTGTGAGCGCCACTCCCACTCGAAGATTCATTGGTGCAGCCGACAGCACAACATCCGGCAAGTCCCCATTAGAACCGTACACCTCGGCCCCCGTCATGACTATTAATAGTAATTAAAATCACAGACCTTCGCACTTGTGATTTCTGTACAGCTAATTAACGAAGTCATCCAGAACTGGGCCAGCCACCCCAGTCTCTCAGTCATCGTTTGTAAACCTTGATTATCTGTCGCTGTTTTTTGCCTTACTATAGGACGTTCGTAGTTATATGAGTGCTTTCAGAAGTCCTTCAGCGTCAAAGCTGTTTTTCCACCTTATTTGTGGCCAAGTAGTGGTGAGTAGGGAATGTTTGTGTAGTTGGGCTTCCAAGCTTTGTTCCATGGAATATTTGTCTGTCATGGTAATTTAGTTCGTTGTACAATACTCCTGTTCCCCTCTATCATTCCAGCCCCTTCTATGTTCAAATGCAGACACAAGGTAGCATGTTTCTCGAGCCGTTGGTTAATTAGACCAACCGCATCTCTGTTGGAGTGCCGTGCCAATGGGTCTGTTTCTTGCCTGCAACCAAGTCCGACGACATCACTCACCCAACAGTTGCCACAGGCCGCATCCCCTCTCTCACTCGCCCTATTCAATAGCACCACCTACTTGCCTCCCCACCACTACCCAGCGACACTTATCCTCCCACCCCTTTTGCATCATCCTGTCCGATGGTACGCAACGTACGGCTCCTTGCCCCAGTATCGTTTCTCAGCATGACACATTGACGTATAGACGTAGTGATGATACCTCAGAAGCCGACGTTCACCTGAACAGACTTACTGTGAGCAACTCCACGTCGCAGAGGTTTCATAACGTGAAAGAGTAAGTGCCCATTTACATACTTGCACCGTCTAATACTCGAAGAACAGCAGACGCGTTGTTTGTTACAGCTGCTCTGGATTATTCCAGGTGTCGTGTTCGTTTGCGGTTCCTTTTATTTCTTCCACTTTGTAGGCCTGATAATCGTCATAACCCCCGTGACGACAATTTTCATTCAATTTTTCGATGCATCCGTACCGCCTGTTGTTATCCTCTTGCAAAACAGTGATATCGACCCCATGTAGATTTCAAAACACTTTGCACTCTAATTCGTTAAAATCCCCTTCTTCATTTCAGTAAATAATGAATCCGCTAACAAATACTAAAAACCAAAACTTGATAAATGAACGCGAACTGCGCCTTGGATACACGGGGAAAGTTAGCAGTTGGCATCGACAGTACAAGGACTCTGCCTGGATTTTCATCGGCGGCCTGAGCTACGAACTCACTGAGGGCGACGTCATTTGTGCCTTCTCTCAGTATGGTGAAGTAGCCAACATAAACCTCGTGCGAGATCGTGATACAGGCAAACCCAAGGGTTTCGCTTTCCTCTGTTACGAGAATCAAAAAAGCACAATTCTTGCTACAGATAATTTGAACGGCATCAAGCTTGGTGGCCGTACAATTCGAGTCGATCATGTTGAAAAGTACAAGGTACCACATATGGGACTTTTGAAGGTTGGCAGGGAGAATCCCGACCAAATACCACCTTCGAATTCTGTTTCTGACTTTGTTCGCCAGCACGGTTGCGGGCCCGAGGCAATGCAGCACATTTCCAGATTTCAGAGGGCCAAGAAGGCTGGACGCACCGAACAGGTATCATCGATGCAATCCCGTCAGAGCCGGTCACGTTCTCCCGGATTGGACCACGGTAGACGGCGCCAGTCGCGCTCGCCATCACCCCCTCGAGGAGCAAGCAAACATTTGCCTTCGATATCGCCTCCACGTGAAGCCTGTGGATGTTCACCCCCGTCTCCGTGTTCACCATCCCGACAGAGTGGCCACTCATTCTCTCGAATTTACCATCTACCCCCACGAATGAAGGATTCGCCTCAGCTGCCACAGCGATGTGCCGTTTTCTCTGCTCGAGGGAACTATCGGCCATTCCCCGTCTCCGCTTCTGTAAGGCGACTCCAGCCGTCCACATCTGTGTCCCGAGAGCTGGAAGAAAGTCGACTTCCCTCACCTCCTCGTCAACGACCCCGACCTACTTCTCCATTGTCTGCCAGGAGAGAATTTGACCATTTCGCGTCTTCCCCTTCCCCTTCTCGTGGAAGTCGACCTTCACCTGTCTCTCCACTCGCCCGCAAAGGACGCCTACCCTCCGTCTCCCCTTCGCGAAAATCAGGTTTACCATCAGTCTCCTTTTCATTGAAGGAAAATCAAGCTTCAGTGTCTCATCCTCATCGTAGGGAACGCACTCCCTCGGTGTCTCCGCCCCCCAAGACACAGCAGTCTTCTATATCCCCTCCACGGCGACGGCGCCGATAGTTGTTTACTATCTGAGACATTTCAGTAAATTGTCCATTTTACCTTACTTTTCGTGTATGCGTTCTGAGCAAATGGGGCCATCCCGCTGTAAATTGCGAGTAACTCAGTTTGCTGGGTGCCTATGCGAACGTTCAGTGTAATCGTTTTCGTGTCCGGCCCCTGTACCGCATCGCGTCACGCCGCAGACCAGCGGAAGCTTCGCGTTACCAAAGGACATGATTCTCGAAGTGGAATGATGGGGTCGTCGTTTGGGATAAATGGCTCTAAATACTGTTGATTTTTAGTTCCGTCGTTTCATGGGACTTTCACCAAATGCTTTGGCCTAAGTGAGGTTGATTCGCATTAGTAACGATCAGCTGCCATCGTTTTGGTCATGACCGGTTTAGAGCAGGCGATTGGCCATGTTTCGAAGCCCCATGTTCCGCTGCAGTGGTGTCGAGGGCTGTTTTACCATTATGGTCTAAATCACAGTCCACACGGAATGACTTATGATGATACTTGTACTTTGTACGGTTGTGACCATGTCTGACCCGGCTGGCCTCGAGGATGTCACTTATTACCTTTCCACGTGTGCGGCAGCGGATCTGGGCAGATCGACCCACTCTTTACTCCAGCGACGCAGACCGAATAATGAGGGTCCAGAAACCACTTTCATGTCTTAACGAACTGTGTCGACTCCAGATGGGCAACGGCGCCGGATCGAGGCCATGGGCTCGCGAGGCAGACGACTTAAAACAAGTTCGAACCACATCAGTTGTCTTTCTTGGATGATCTCAGATATGGCGATGTAAGCATGCTAAGCAGTCCCTGTTTGCGGGATCGATGACTTTGAAAGTAGTTGTTTTTACACCAGGAAGGGCTTGTTTTCGACCCACTGGCCGTTTGCTGATTATTTTTCACATAATTGCTCTCCAAAGTAAAGGCGTTTTAATTATTTTGACTCGAGTAACTGGAGTCCGGATCCCCGGGGAAAGATATGGTAGTCAGAATGGTGTACTGTTGTGTTATTAACCGACTCAGTGCCTGTGGTCAGGTGTCACTGGAAGTTAAACAACGATTATCAGAAGCAGTAATCCTAGGTGGTTGGAAATATTCCTATTTTTTGTACGTGCTAGAACGGTTGAACGGATCTTGGGAGGAAAACTGAGTAAGTTGAAGTCTTATGACCTCCCGGCCCTTCGATGGGCACTCGGACGCTTAGCTGCATGTCACTCCTCTATTAGTTGGTGAAGTTATTCGTTCATCATTAACATGTAGCTGAAAGCACATCTAAAACGTTGGGGGACTTGCCCGGGTGAGCCAGTCCTTCATATTTTCGTCACACAACAGTTGGGACGTTAGCAAAACATCAGTCTGAGCTCTTAGCTACGGCGTACTTATTTTAGCTTGGTGCAGCGTGACACGAATAACCAGGTGCGTTGCAAATTTGATAGGCTATAGCGGAAAACAAACTGGCTCTTGACACGCGTTCATCGGACAGCGCAGTACTCAATTGAGCCCATAAATGTTGCACCACGTGCATGTGTGTCGCCCTAGACGTGGGTTGCCACGTCACTCAATCCACGGGCCCAGTCATGGCACCTGTTAATTTAGAGGCCCGTACAAGCAACTGGTGCGTAGAGGAAGAGGGGGGTGGGGTGCGACCGACATTGAGGAACCATCCCAGTGACAAATCGGCGCATTTCTCAATTTACTAAATCTGACGCGCTTGAGCCCGTGGCGACGCGCAAAGAGTTGTGGCATCGAAGGATGCGAGGGGACCATCTGCTCAGGGATGCAACTCAAAAACACTGGTCTTCTCGGTGTCCATTGATGGCCTGAATTGGCGACTTCATGAACCAGTGAGGCCTTAGACTCTAGATCACCGAAACGGGCAATGCGATATCGTCAGCGTGGTTAAGATCAGTTAGCCGGCGTCCGGGTGCAAACTCAACGCGGTCAACTCCGGCCAGCGGTGTAGTTGAACTGAGTTGACGGCAGAATGCGAAGGCCGTACCGAGTGTCGAACGGTTAGGACAGTTTGTCATGGACCAGAATGCGCGCGGTGGTGGAGCGATAATAGAGTTTGGTCATAAGGATTTTTGTCGGCATACTATCTGACCACATTGGCCCCTACGCGGACTCACGATTGACGGAATCAAATGCGACAATAAAGTCGACAAAGCAGACGACGGTCGGTTGTTGGTAGCCATGGCGGAAGTTAGGAATACAGCGCAGTGTAGATATTTGGTTTGCGCATTCACGCCCAGCTAAGAACCCTGCTTTGTTGGGTCTTGTCCTAGAATCATGCACACTATGAAATCACCTAAGAAAGGCGACAGCGAAGACCTTCGCAACGACGTCGACGAGACTTATGCCACTGTAGATTTCGCACCTTGTTTCCCTTCTTGAAGACAGACTCAACTATGCCCGAAACCAGTCATCAAGAAAGACCCCATCTTCCTACTATCGCTTAACCACATGGAGCCAGGGTGCCGGTCTGAACACAAGACTTGTTCGTTTCAGCGGGAATATCGACCTCTCCGAGAGCATTGTTGTGCGGTTTCTGTATTGCATCGGCGTCTTCTTCCTCAGAGACGGGGTAAAATGACACTACATGAGCTGGAAATGCATAAAACTCTGCTGCAGGGGAGAGCCAGGATGTGGTGGACTGATCAGCGAGTTATCAGTAATAAAGCCTTCATTCTTATCTCGAACAGAGTCATTTTGGAGGACTCATCACTACCTTGACGCGTGGTTGGGTAGTCTCCGAGTTTTAACAACGTTTGAGGCCTTCCCCATAGAGGTTGTTATTTCAACCCACCCCTAGTTGACTTTATTGTCATTTTTCGGAGTTGTCGGAAGGAATGATCGCCGTAGGATCCGGCTCGAGCCGTCTGAGCAGACAACTACAAGGTTCTTTTCTGGTCCAGCCATTGCGACCGCCCTGTGTGGGTTGACGGATTTTCTCATCTTCATGGTGGACTGACGACTTCAGTGATGACCATTTGCTATTGCCTTCGTCGGTCCGGATCGTTAAGCAAGACTGGATTTCTATGCATAGGGCTCCAACTGTGCTGCTTTGTCGGAGTTTTGTAACATTTGTGGTCTTGCACACGACAACTTGGGGGAAGATGTGAAGTGGTCTATCAGGCGTGTGCCATCGGGGACATGGTATGACACATGGTGATGCCAGTTTCGTCATCATACATCGATTCGCTGTTGTGAATTCAGTTGTAGAACCTTGAGCCGCCTGATTGTTATCGGTAAGGATGGACACATGGCCGTCATCTAAATAGCAGGTCAGAATATGTTTTTGGTGATGTTGCAAGAACTTGCGGATGAAAAAAATCGGTTCTGGTCAGCAAATTCTAGCATTTGTTCTTCCTGTTACAATGCGTCGACAACGTGAGGGTCTCCGAATCCAAAAGTCCGGGCAGGAGGAATAAGTTGGATGACATTTACTGCGGCGAGTGAGCGTACAAGGCTCCACAAGCAGTAACACCGAGGCTTCTCTCCAATCATACGTAAAACGTCGGGATTGTTAGTCCCGGCGCGAGACGCACGCGTTCACATGGACTTCGCCCGCCTACGACCAACTTGCAAACGGTTGATGGTCGATTTGCGCTACCCGGTAGCCAAGTCAGTCGGCGCCCACACCCGATTGACTGGGACTGTTAGGGGCACCGAGGGGACCATGGGCGAGCGCCCGCTCTGACGACCGCCAGCGTTAATAGCATTGCCGACAGAGACAAGGGAGACTGGGATGGCCATTTCCGGTTTATTAGCCGTCGTCAGCCACACCCAACTCCGAATTATGGAAGACCTGGGGCTCGATCTCGCGACCTGTTGGTTAGAAGCCTAACGCCCCTGACCACAGTCACTTCCACGTTGCCTCCCAGTCAGAGCAACTCCGAAGTGAAGTGATGTTGAAGCAACTGTCCTTGTCTAAAGAAAATCGGTTACGAGACGATCAGGAAAGTGGGCATAACGCCCACTGCGCATGACAGTCAGAAGGGACAGCAGTAGAGCCTGGAGTATGTGCTGCCGTGGGAGAATTCGAAGAGGACGAGGCTGCAGTTTTGAACTGCAGACTAGGAGTGATGGTGGTCTGGAGTGGTTGAGGAGCATAGGGTAAATGGGGTGAATAAGCAGTTGTTTGGGGACCATACAGCTGGTCCGGAGGAGTGTTCGGGACAACAGCTTTATTCCGTCCAACCGCACGACCTCCCCGCAAGTTCCGCGTTGGATGCAGTACATGTTTGTCCCTGGAGAGACAGCCCCAAAGGGGGTTTCATATATTGGTTCCAGCCGCCGACGAACTTGATCACATCGGAGGAAAACGTGAGAGTACGTGCCTAGGTCTTTCTCAAGACAAGACTCGGTGCACGTTGGCCTGGGCGGAGCCGAAGATTGTCTACATGAAGTGGCGGAGACGGTGCTGAAGGTAGGTCGGATCCGCACCATCACTGCGGGGGGTTCGTAGATCCTCTTAGCAGAAAGTCGGACAGCGGTACCGAATACCAGCTCAGCGGCGGAGCATTCGAGGTCTGACTTGAGAGCCAATCGCCTACCTTACAGTACCGAGGCAAGATGATCCGTACAGTTCTCCAGATTGTCTGCGACACGTAGGGTGGTCTTCAGTTGGCGATGAGGCCCCTCTACCATTGCGTTGGTAAGTGGGTGGAAGGCTGCCGTCCAGATGCGCGTACAGTTTAATTAAGAGAGAATAGGGCGAAAGGAGTGACATCCGGTCTGTGCGCTCTGGCCAGTCATGATGACAAATGGGACGCCAAGTATGGCAACATATTGACTTAGGATAGCCTTGATCCTCTTCGAAGCCCAGGCATCGGGCGGAGGGATAACATCCGACCACTGTGTGAATCTATTCCCTCGGGTGAGAATGTAGTAACAACTTGGAAAGAGGTAGAGGGCCTACAATTTTCAGGTGAATGCAGCAGCACCTCGCATTGGGGCCGGGGAAGGTGTTGATGGAAGCCTTGTGTTTCTGGACCTTTCCTCGTTGATAGCTGAGACACCCGCGCTCGAGCTTTTAGGATTTTTACATCCGAAGACAGTCGAAACGGTCGGAAACCACCTTTCTGGCGGCTTGACTTCCAGAGTAAAATAGGCTTAGGGACAAGAAAATCCTCCGGTGGAGGAATAGCGACATAAAGGGACGGTTAAAGAATGGTGCCGTCACCAGTAGTCATTGAGAGGGCCTGGAGTTGGAGTCCGGAAATATGCACGTTGTGCGGAGATCCATCACAGAATTGTTGGCAACCAATTCGGTAAAGTCGATCCCGGGAGGAATTCGGAGATGAACGACAGGGCATTTGCATACTATTTCAGCCGTCTCATCCATCGATAATGCGGGTGCTTGAGGTGACTTGGGAGATAAAGTCCACATGACCAGTCTCCTGGATGTCGGGCTTTCCAGAGATCGACTGGAGAGCGAAGGACAATACCAAACTGTTGAAGGCGGTCAAACAAGGTTGCTAGATTCACCATGTGTTTTTCGGCCGTGATGCTTGTCACCAGAATATCCTTTATATAGATGTAGACAAAGGTTAGGAGATGATGTACTGTAGCTGCGAACGTCTCGATTGCTTGGGATCCACTGCGGAGTTCAAATGGCATGCATAGGAACTCCAAGAGACCAAAAGAAGTGGTGAAGGCTGTCTTCGAATCCTCCTTCGGAGCGGCAGGATCCGATAGAATGCCCCGACAAGGTCGATATTGGAGAAGTCAGGCTTACCAAATGATAGTTTGACCGTCGCATCCGACGATGTCCACCGTATGCTCCACAGCAATGTGGAGCGGGGACGGTGACGTGCGCGGGATTTATAGTACCAGCAGACTTGCGTTGCATCTATCACACACTCTTCCTCTCCCATCTCATTCCGGTGCAAAGACAGGGTCAAGAAGACAGGAGACAGGGGAGAGCGCAGGTGGATGGCACGGCCTACCCCGAACCTTGGCGTTCTATTCCACACTCCATTGCTCTAAACAACAAATAACGAGGTATTTGACCAAATACAACAAAGATAATGGAGGCTGGCACGATCGAAACCGCACTTAGGCGTGATGCCCACACGCGGCAGGGATCCCAAACAGTGGGAGTGCCACAATGGTCACATTAGGAAGCAGCCATTGAAGCCTGACTCTTGACAGTTCGACCATCGGTTTCGATCATGTCCACCGTATGCCCCACAGTTGCAGCAGCGGTGGGAGCAGGGACGGTGACTTACGCAGGGGCTTATAGAGCCCGCAGACTTGCGTGGCATCTACCTACACTCTCTCGTCCTCCCTCGCCCGAGCCCGGTGTCAAGACAGAGTCCAGAAGCCCGGGGACGAGGGAGGCCGCAGGTGGATGGCTCGGACGGATCCTCACCTTGGCGTTCCACCACACCCCCTGGTTCACACAACAATTAACCAGGATTTCAACCAACACAACAGGGATTTGGAGGCTGGCACGACCGAAGCCGCACCTAGGCGTACCGCCAACGCCTGGCTCGGATCCCACACAGTGGTGAGAGTGCCATAAAGGTCGCATTAAAAAGGAGCCATTGCAGCCTGACTCTCAGACCGCCTCCAGTGAAAGAGGACGTCCAAGTTACCCCGTCAGTTGACAACCATCCAAGCCACGGCTTTTAGCGCACCGTACTGGCTTCAATCGCGTCAGACTGATTATAGTGAGGAGAAAGTGCGCTGAGTCGTCGACCTCACTCTCCCTTCCCACTCCCACACCACAATCGCTGTCCGAGCCGGTCAGCCGACTGGAGGGGGAGTGGGCGCGGTGGCTGACATGGTCGACTGACCATGCCTGCGCGCGCCACAGCACGACCTGGCCCCCCATACACACAAACACCAGGATTTCACACAACGGGGGTTGAACGGCGTGTCTCCCACTTGCGTGAGAGGGCCGTGGAAGGTGCTGCTTCAGCCCGTCCCCAGCCCACCAGTCCGCCACTGCACACAACACACACACACAACGTGACGAACTGCGTGAACCGAGAGCAGGCCTCAATCAGCAACCTTCCTATCCACGACGCTTGACGTGTCGGGATAGTCTCGGACACAAGTCACCCGTGCAGCCGAAGCCGCATGGGGACCGAGTCGAGATGCACACTTCCCACTTGCGTGGGAGGCGGCAGTTGAGTGAATGAGGTGTGTGGGGGTTGATGTCTGGTGGGGTGATGTTGTTAGGAGGTAGGGAGTGAGGGAATGTGTGGTGTGACCAGCGGTTGTCTACCGCAGGTCGTCGTGGATGCGCATGTGGCCGAATAGACCCATGCGATGCGTGAAGGTGCGAGGGCAGTGTGAGCAGCGGAGGCGAGTGCGGTGGGTGTAGGTTGGTACGCCAGGCACTGGTTCGCCAGTCTCTGTGCGATGGATTCGCAAGTGACCGACCAGGCCGATGCGTGAGGTGAAGGTGCGATCGCAGTGAGGGCAGATGTAGTCCTGGCCCTCACGTCTGATGATGGAGGTTGCAGGGGTTGTGCCTGTTGTTGTGTCAGGTACGGCTGTGGTGAAGTCATGCGCTACAGACGCCGAAGTGGCCGTCGTTGTGGCAGTGAAGGAGGAAGAGGAGGATGAAGGGGAGGAGTGAGGGGTGGTAAGGTCGGTGGCGTCGATGTCGGCTGGGGAGTGGTTAGTGGGTGCACAAGGTGTTGGATTGGGAGTGGGGCTCGGCGGGGTGGGTGTCTCAAGGCTGCGGTCAATTTCGGTCTCGTGGATGCGCATGTGGCCGAATAGACCCATGCGATGCGTGAAGGTGCGAGGGCAGTGTGGGCAGTGAGTGTAGGTTGGTGCTCCAGGCACTGGTTCGCCAGTCTCTGTGCGATGGATTCGCAAGTGACCGACCAGGCCGATGCGAGAGGTGAAGGTGCGGTCGCAGTGAGGGCAGGTGTAGTCCTGATCCTCGTCACTGGAATCGGGAGAGGTGTGGGTGGTGATGTCGGTTGTTGTGTTTGGGTTGGTGATGTGTGAGACGGCAGTTTGAACGGCCGCCGCTGGGGCAGTGGAGGAGGATGGAAGTGGTGGTGCAGAAGGAGTGTCAGAGTTAGTTGGCGGCAGAGAGGGCGAGGAAGAGGCGGGCGGGGGGACAATGGCTGGAGCAGTTCGAGAGGTGCAGTTGATTCGAAGATCTCCAACAAGTCCGATTCGTGCCCGGAATGTCCGTTGACATCGGGGACACGTTGGAAACGGTTGTGCGGCGGCGTTGCGGACTGGGCGAAGTTGTGAGTTGCGGGCTTCGCGTTTCGCTTTGGCGACGGCGATTCGGTTGGCTTCATATATAGCAGCGCCCGTCTTCACTGTTCTCCTCCATGTCGGACGATCGCGAGCGAGCTCTTCCCAGTTGGTCGGGTTGATTTGCAGGCGCTTCATGGAGGACTTCAGAGTATCCTTGTAACGGCGAATTTGGCCTCCTTGACGGCGAGAACCCGTCGCGACGTCTCCGTAGAAGAGTCGTTTGGGTAGTCGCTCGTCGTCCATGCGCACCAGGTGGCCGCTCCTGCCAGTTCAGCCTCAGGATGCGGCGGAGACAACTGAGGTGGAAGTGGTTCAGTCGGCGTGCCTGTCTCGTGTACACCGTCCATGTCTCTGCTCCGTACAGTAACGCCGGCAGGATGACGGCCTTGTACATCTTCAGCTTCGTGCTCATTTGGAGACCATGACGATTCCAAACTGTGCTTTGGAGGCGTCTGAAGGCTTGACTGGCTTTCAAGATCCTGTTGGCGACTTCGTCGTCGATCTTGGTGTTGCGGGAGAGCGTGCTGCCCAGGTACGGGAAGTTCTCTACCACTTGCATTTGAGTCCCATTCACGTTGATATGCGGCGGAGCGTTGGGGGCTGTGACTGAGTGGGGTGGTGGTTGGTGCATCACCACCGTCTTCTGCGTATTAATGACCAGCCCAAAGTTCTCGCAGGCGGCGGAGAATAGGTCCATGTTCCGTTGCATCTCCTCTTCCGAGGTGGTGTTCAGAGCGCAGTCGTCGGCGAAGAGAAGTTCGTGCACGGTGGCTGTGGATACACGCGATTGGAAGTTCATGCGCCGGTGATTCAGGAGATGACCGTCCGTTCTCTAGGCGATGCGGATTCCAGGGCGTTCGTCGCGGTAGGCGTCCATAAGCATGGCAGAGAACATGAGACTGAAGAGGGTAGGCGCCAGCACACAGCCCTGCTTCACTCCGTTGGTCACTGCGAATGTCTCTGAGACAGCTCCGTTGTCCGTGACTCGCGCCATCATACCGTTGTGCAGCTGACGAACCATCTGGATAAATTGCTCTGGACAGCCAAATTTCTGCATGATCTTCCACAGTCCTTCACGATTCACCGTGTCGAAGGCTTTCGTCAGGTCCACGAAGGTAGAGTACAGGTGGGTCCGCATCTCCTGGCACTTCTCCTGAAGTTGGCGGGCTGCGAAGATCATATCCGTGGTCCCACGATGACGACGGAAGCCGCATTGGCTTTCCGGCAGAAGGCCCTGTTCCAGATGGTTGGTGAGGCGGTTGAGCAGGATGCGAGCGAAGATCTTCCCGGCGATGTTCAGTAGGGAGATGCCGCGGTGGTTGTCGCAGACTTGGCGATTCCCTTTGCGCTTGTAGAGATGCACGATAGTTGCGTCCTTGAAATCTTGCGGGACTTCACCTTGACGTCACATCTCCTGGAAGAGCGCAGTCAGGTGATCCATCAGTTGGAGACCTCCATGCTTGTAGACCTCAGCAGGGATTGCGTCCGATCCGGGTGCTTTCCCGCTGGAGAGTTGCTGCACGGCCCTGATGGTCTCCTGGAGAGATGGCGGGAGGTCGAGGTCCACGTTGGTCTCCACTTGCGGCAAGCGGGCGATGGCGGCGTCGGAGATGACGGAAGAGCGGTTGAGGACGCCTCGGAAATGTTCGGCCCATCGCTGTAGGATTTGCGTCTTCTCAGTCAGGAGAGTGCTGCCGTCGGCTCTGAGGAGAGGAGCAGTGCCCTTCGTCGGCGGACCGTAGACAGCTTTGATCGCGGAGAAGAAGTTCTTCCATTCGTTGCGGTCCGCGTAGCCTTGGATCTCCTCAGCTTTGCGAGCAGTCCAGGCGTCCTGCATCTCGCGCAGTCGTTGCTGAAGCTGTCGGCGACTGCGGTAGAAGGCAGCTTTGTTGTCCTCAGTGGGGTGATCTACGTAGGCTTTCTGGAGGCGGTTCTTCTCAGCAAGCAGATTTGTGATGGCGGCGTCGTTGTCGTCGAACCAGTCCTGATGTTGGCGGGGAGCGCGACCGAGGACGGCGAGCGCCGTCGACTGGACCGTGTCTCGCAGTTGACACCAGCGGTTCTCCACGGAGGCGTTCTCGGCAGCGGCGACAGCGATAGGAAGGTTGTCTAGCCGTTGAGCTAGCTCATTGCTGAAATGGAGACGGTGAGCAGGCAAAGACAACAAAGCAACATTCAGCTTACCTGGGGGTCGCTTACCTTGTGGCCTCCTGCGAGGCTGTAGGCGAATACGCATCTTCGAGATGACGAGGCGATGGTCGGTCCACCCGTCAGCACCCGCGATCGCCTTCGTCACCAGCACGTCCCGCTGATCTCGCCTCCGGACGAGGACATAGTCCAGCAGGTGCCACTGACGCGACCGAGGATGCCTCCAGGTGGCCTTCTCTCGCTCCGGCCTTATTCAATCAGATTTCCTCTGATCTCTCACTGGATTCCGGACACAAATTCCGTTGCATTTGTGTGCGTAAGGCCATTAAACTGGCCTGCTGCTCTTCGCGTATGTGCTTCATCTGTTTGTCCGATAACATGTTGCTGCACTGGTTGCCGGTTGGAATGACCCGGATGGTAGGTTGGATAGATGAGCCGGGATAGCAAACGGGCACTATATTAACAGCGTGTGAACATGGCGATTTGGCCACAATGAAACTCGAGTATCTTATGGGGCACCCGAGCGTTTTGCAATACTCCGATCAAAATATACCTCAAAAATGTGACGAAGGAATGACCGCAATGAAGATTTATTAGCCAGGACATCAGGACCAACGACGCACTCTAAACAAGCAAATGTGAAATTGCCCTGAGCTATCAGTTGTGCATGATAACAACATAGGGCAGAACGACAGACGATAAACATGCTATAAAAACAGATGCGAAAACGCACACGATGGGCATTGCCGAAAAAATGCTGAAAAAGAGCGCATATTACATCAAAATGACTAAGGCACTTTCCTGCTAGCACCAGCGCCAGGGGCCAGAAGGGCTGAGCCCCGTGTGGGCGGGGCTATGACGGGGCTCTGGACGCGATAGCCCCTTCCTCGAAAAAAATAACGCGCAGGGGGACGCCATCCTCTCCGTGATATTAACCCCACTTTTACGTGACCGGTATTTTCCCTTACCTAATTATCCGTACAGTAGGTTATACTATTCTGAATTGGAATTCAGACTTCTGACGAGAAACACAAGCAGCACGTAAAACGCAATACTGTTGTAAGTTTTGTTCTTTCAGTTTAGTCAAGCCCTCGAATATTATCGCGGGAAAGATTAAACTCTACATTACCCCAAGTGCTTGACGCATCACGCATTCAGCTCGGCTTAGGGCCAGATTATAGTGCTTGTTAAAAAGTGGATTGACGATAACCACGTGAAGAGCATCCCCACTAACAACAACAAGTCGGGCGTCAGGAGTAGTACTGATGGATAGGACGGATTATGTGGCGAAACTACAGGAAATACTGTCGGATCGTTCCAAGTTCTCAAAATCTGTGAAAGATAAGGATCGCACGGAGGCTGTCGAGGGTCAGCTGACGACTATTCTCAAAGATCTCTGCAAAGAAGGCCATTTGTCTAGCAAAGAGTATGAACGACTGAGACCGGTGGGCTCGACAATACCAAGAATGTACGGCCTTCCTAAAATTCACATACAAGGGCTGCCTCTACGTCCAATCTTGGATATGAGGAATTCGCCCTATCATACCGTTGCAAAATGGCTAGTGGAAAGACTAAAGTCATTGCAAAGTTACCTATACCCTCGAAGTTTAAAAGACTCCTTTGAGTTCGTCGAAGCTATCAAAAATATGAACGTTAGCGGACGGAGGATGTTATCACTGGATGTATCATCGCTGTTTACCAACGTACCCGTGGCAGAAACAATAAACTATCTTTGCGATGTTATTCGTGATACGAACTACCCCATAGACATGCCTATGAAAACGCTAAAAGAACTACTGACGCTTTGCACACAAAATGTCCAATTTTTGTGCAATGGTCAATTATACAGGCAGGTAGATGGTGTGGCAATGGGATCACCGCTTGGACCGTTCCTTGCAAATGTTTTTATGGGCAAAGTTGAAAAAAACAAGCTTGCAAGAGACCATTAATGGTCTCGTCTTCTACGGTCGGTACGTGGACCATATCTTCTGCCTGGCGGATTGTACCACCGATACCGAGGAGCTTGTCCAAAAGTTCAACAGTGCGCACCCCTCGCTAAAGTTCACTGCAGAGACCGAGGCAGATAACGAACTTGCCTTTCTCGATGTCCTTCTGCACAGGCAAGAGGATGAGTCTATCCAGCGCAGGGTGTTCCGAAAGAAAACCTGGACGGGACAATACGTTAATTTCCACAGTTTTGTTCCCTTAAACATCAAACGGAATTTAGTCCAGGGATTGGCGGCCAGAGTGAGGCGCATCTGCTCACCAGAAGCTATTGTAGAAGAACTTCAACAGCTGTGGAACACACTTCGGGAGAACGGATACCCAGATAGATTTATCCTCCGAAATATTGGGGAACGCGCGCAAAAGCCCTCTGTTGCGACTGCGAAAAAGAAAGATGTATTCATAAGATTGCCTTTTGCAGGAGACGCAGAGAGCGAACTAGTCCGACGGCGCTTAACTACAGCTCTCACGAAGGCATTCCCTGCGGCGAATTTACGCGTATGCTTCACAAACTCTCCCCTCCTACGTTTGGGAGGTAAAGACAGACAACCGTTGGAGGCCACATCAATGTGCATTTATTCATTCACTTGCTCCTGTGGAGCAGGCTACATCGGCCGCACAACGAGACGCCTGGTAAAGAGGGTGCGTGAACATATGCCCGCCTGGTTAGACAGGGGTGAGACCCGGTCGATTTCGAGTTCTATTCTCGCGCATTTAATCGATACGAACCACCGAGTCGATGCCAAGAAAGCATTTCAGGTTGTCTACCGGACACCAACATGCTTCTCTAAAGGCCTACGCCAACGGATACTAGCAACGGCCGAGGCAGTGGTTATACGGTTAGCGAATCCGGTGTTATGCTGTCAGAAAACTCTGACACAAGCGCTTTCGCTGCCGTGGCCAACGCCAACCCCAAGTGATGAAGCCATGCCGCCTCAGATCCCTAATCACGATGATGGGTACTCCGTGTACTCAACCCAAGAACATCACTCAAAGACTCTCTTACTCCCCTCTCCTAGCTCTGACGACTAACACCCGCCGACCTTCTCATGCGGGCGGCGTGGGGATGATGAGTGTTAGTGACTTAATAGCCCTTGAGGCATCTATAAAGACTGTTGATTTTGTAAATTTTCATTCCTTCATGTAATTGTATTGGCCTGAGGAAGAATTACCGAAAAAGCGTGTTCGCCAACTTGACTTTTCAATTGTGTGTTAATCAGGGATGAACTTCGCTTCTCAAAATCGTCGGAAATATCTTCGCACGCTTCATCCTCAATCGTCTCAAAGGCCTTCTGGAGGAGGGATTTTTCGAAAGCCACTGCGGTACCACCATATGATCCTCGCCGCTCGCCGGCTGCAGGGCGAATGCCAAGAAACGCGAATTCACCCGTACACTACCTTTGCCGCCCTGACAGAAGCCTTCGACACGGTTAAGCGCAATGAACTGTGGAAAGTCATGGATGAATTCAGCTGTCCTGGGCGACTCACACATATGGTCCGTCAACTTCAGGACGGGATGATGACGCACGTAACGGTAAGTGGGCCAGTCTGAGTAACATTTGCGGTGGCCAATGGTGTGAGTCAGGGCTACCAAATCACTCCTACCATCTTCAGTCTCATGTTCTCTGCCATGCCGCTGGACGCTTACTGCGACGAGCGATCAGCATTGCCTCAACACTCGAGAAATGCATGTGTCCGAGAAATTTCCGTAGAAAATTGCGCGCTCAGTGATGCAACGGAAGCAGACATATGACGGAGCATAAACTTCTTCGTCTCCGGTTTTGCGAAATCCAGGCCGATCATTAACACGGATAAAACGGTGGTAAGGCACCATTATTCATCCAGTACTGAATGACAGTTCGACCATCGATTTCGATGATGTCCACCGTGTGCACCACAGCTGCAGCAGCGGTGGGAGCAGGGACGGTGACTTGCGCAGGGGTTTATAGTGCCGGTAGACTTGCGCGGCATCTACCTACACTCTCTCCTCCTCCCCCGCCCGGGCCCGGTGTCAAGACAGAGTCAAGAAGACCGGAGACGAGGGAGGCCGCAGGTGGATGGCTCGGACGGATCCTCACCTTGGCGTTCCACCACACCCCCCTGGTCCACACAACAATAACCAGGATTTCAACCAACACAACAGGGATTTGGAGGCTGGCACGGCCGAAGCCACACCTGGGCGTGCCGCCAACGCCTGGCTCGGATCCCACGCCGCGGTGGGAATGCCATAAAGGCCGCATTAAAAAGGAGCCATTGCAGCCTGACTCTCAGACCGCCTCCAGTGAAGGAAGAGGTCCAAGGTACCCCGTCAGTTAGCAATCTTCCAAGCCACGGCTTTTAGCGCACCGTGATAGTTTCAAACGCGTCAGATTGATTATAGTGAGGAAAGTGCGCTGAGTCGTCGACCTCACTCTCCCTTCCCATTCCCACACTCCAGCCGCCGTCCGAGCCGGTCGGCAAACTGGAGTGGGGAATGGGCGCGGTGGCTGACATGGTCGACTGACCATGCCTGCGCGGCCACAGCACGACCTGGCCCCCCATTCACACACAAACACCAGGATTTCACACAACGGGGGTTGAGCGGCTTGTCTCTCACTTGCGTGAGAGGGCCGTGGAAGGTACTGCTTCAGCCCGTCCCCAGCCCACCAATCCGCCACTCCACACACAACACACACACACAACGTGACGAACTGCGTGAACCGAGAACGGGCGTCAATCAGCAACCTTCCTATCCATGACACCTGGCGTGTCGGGATATCCTCGGACTCAAGTCACCCGTGCGGCCGAGGCCGCATGGGGACCGAGTCGAGATGCACACTTCCCACTTGCGTGGAAGGTGGCAGTTGGTGCATGCGATGGGTGAGTGTTGATGCGTAGTGGTGATGGTGGAGGAGGGTATGGAGTGTGTGAATGTGTGGTGTAACCGGCGGTTGTCTACCGCAGGTCGTCGTGGATGCGCATGTGACCGAATAGACCCATGCGATGCCTGAAAGTTCGAAGACAGTGTGGGCAGTTGAGTCGAGCTTTGTGGGTGTAGGTTGGTGCTCCAGGCACTGGTTCTCCAGTCTCTGTGCGATGGATTCGCAAGTGACCGACCAGGCCGATACGTGAGGTGAATGTGCGTGGACAGTATGGGCATGTGAATTCGGCGGTGTCAGTGTCAGCCACAGAGGATGCGTTGGTGGTGGTGCAGGCGAATGGTGGGAGGGTGGTGCTGAGCATGATGGGCGTGGTTGGTGTATCGGAATTGTGGTCAATTCCGCTCTCGTGGATAAGTATGTGGCCGAATAGACCCATGCGATGCATGAAGGTGCGGGGACGGTGTGGGCAGTGGAGGCGAATGCGGTGGGTGTAGGTTGGTACGCCAGGCACTGGTTCGCCAGTCTCTGTGCGATGGATTCGCAAGTGACCTACCAGGCCGATGAGGGAAGTGCAGGTGCGATCGCAGTGAGGGCAGATGTAGTCCTGGCCCTCACCTCTGATGATGGAGGTTGCAGGGGTTGTGCCTGTTGTTGTGTCAGGTGCGGCTGTGGTGAAGTCGTGCGCTACAGACGCCGGAGTGGCCATCGTTGTGGCAGTGAAGGAGGAAGAGGAGGAGGACGGGGAGGAGTGAGGGGTGGTAGAGTCGGTGGCGTCGATGTCGGTTGAGGAGTGGTTGGTGGGTGCGCAAGGTGATGAATTAGGAGTGGGGCTCGGCGGGGTGGGTGCGTCGAGGTTGCGGTCATTTCCGCTCTCGTGAATGCGCATGAGGCCGAATAGACCCGTGCGGTGAGTGAAGGTGCAAGGGCAGTGTGGGCAGTGGAGGCGAGTGCGGTGGGTGTAGGTTGGTGCTCCAGGCACCTTGGTATATGCAGGCTGTCCTACTTCTGACAGCACGACGACTTCCAGCAAAGACAGACCTTCATTGGATCTTTCAAGTAGGCCTCATCATAACTCTGTCCTATAAGAAACTGGTACAGGCATTTCACGCGAAAAACAGTGGGAAAAGTGACAGCACGTAAGACACTAGATATACAAATGATGGCCGTCCCACGTCCAATCGGCAAACGGGCTGCATCAGAATCCATTTACGTCAGATTCAGGTTGACTGAAGCAAACGCCTTAAATTAGAACAGTGCCAGCTACACTTCACTCGGGAATCTGTTGCTAACACACAGGTGAAGGACGATTATTCGTAAGGTTGGTTTTAAAAATGTAACAGGCTAAATCGGCCATGAGGAAAGTCGCCACAAGGGCGAGTAGGTCACAACGGCGTGACAAGTTGTGATTTCCATGCACTTGATTAGAACGGAAGCGCCTGCATAAGAAAAAGCAGCTTTTAGCAACTAAATGATATCAATATGTCCAGTAGTAAATGCAAAACGAAGAAGAGCTTGAATTTGAATCACTTGCCCTTAGGTAACCGGCTAGGAATCGACACTTTTAGCTATGATGTGGAACTCATACTATCCGAAGTGACACTAATCGTTTGGTCTTCAGGCACAGCCAATAATCGGGCCAGAGCAGCAAAATAAAGGTAAAATGGAGTTAACTACAACGGCGTATATCCGTATTACCGAGGGCTTTGAACATATATCTCTTGGGAATTAATCTAAACAGTGAAGCCTACAGGATGCCGTTATAAACCGGTAGAACTTACTTGAAGGGAGACTAGAATGATCGCAACTTCTGTCCTAATATTGCTTATGACGACGTGACCAAGAAATGTAAATAGCCTACAGTGTGATCGACAGAAGGCACACTTGACACCAAAAACGTTGTCTGTGCAAGATTAAAGCAATGTTTTCCCGGAATAAATTTGAATATGGCAAAGGCGACAAAGCATGCAGTATTTACTGACGTCATAAATTTCGAGACCCTGTCCCCATATACGCCCTCTCATTCCGCCCCCCACCCCCCCCCTCGGCATGACTGAATGCTGCCCGCGCGGTGCACTCTGAATCACGTCGCACAAGTTCTCACCGTAGTCCTAACTCTCATACTTGGATGACTTCTCTCCCCCTCCCTCCCCCCTCGCCATGTGAAATCGCATGCTAGACCCATGTTTCAGGTTACATATTAAGTTTTATCTTTCTAGGTCGATCGTTGATTGAACAGTTTGCCTTGTCATATAACTATGCAATGACCGTGTGCAAGATTAGGCTAAGATGCAAGGCAATATACAGAACATGACCTGTCTCATGAAACCTGATGGCTGAAACATACGAGAATTTTCGGACATCTTAGCCATAGCCCAGCCCATTAAAGTAAATGCCTTTTTCTCGTGCAAAAATGTCTGAGCAAAATATTCAAAAATTTGGGCAAAAAATGGACGTTGCGATATATTCGGCAATTTCCAATGCTAATACCTGTTCTAGACTTCGGTTGCGCAGTACTGAATACAGCGACCATCACATCATTCTCAGTAGCATCCAACTCCAGACAATAGAGAATTTCGCTTGTGTAGACAGCATAACCTCAGGCAGTACCGAAATCGATTATGAAGTTGCTCATCGGATCTCTAAAGCCAACCAAGCCTTTGGCCGCTTGCAAGCCCCCGTGAGGAATCGTCATGACTTCCATCTCAATGGCAAACTGGAGATGCACACGGCTATCGTCTTCGCAACCTTGCTGCATGGGACGGAGACCCGGAAAGTCTACGAGAAACAAAAGTAGATACTCAGCAACATCCTCCTCAGCAGCCTGCGAAGAACACTGAAGCTGAGATGGTGAGACAAGCTTTCAGACACAGAAGTCCTTGAAAGAACGGGAGTCCTCAGCGTTCACACCCTGCCGAGACAGATTAAACTGCGCTGGAGCGACTACGTCGTGAGAATGAATGACGAGCTCCTACTCAGGCAATTTTTAGGGCGATGTTGTTTGGGTACTAGTCGACATGAAGGAGAAATACATTCCAAGGACACCTTGAAGAGCTCTCTCAAACACCTACAAATTAACTCAGTGGTCTGGGAGGACCTCGGCCAGAATCAACCGACCTAGTAAAAAGCTGTGATGACGGGAGCAGCAATTTGCGAAACCAACCGGATCGCCGCTGCCAAAGACATAAGTGTGACTCGCAGATCTCGAGTCCCTCCGGCCCACAAGTCCAACACCCAATCCTTTCCAACATGCCCACTCTGTCAACGAGTACCGCGCACGAATCGGCCATATCAGACATCTCCGGGCCCAATACAATAACAACGCGGAAGTTCTATCTGCTGCCTCCGCAAACGCCGCTGCACCAACTTCCACCGCGCCCACGACATCAATCACCACCACCATCGGCGGTCACACTTCTGACGTCCCGACGTTTGCCACAACACGCGCGACGACATTTACCGCCTCTGACGCACCACTGGGGACGTCATTTCTAGCGTCCCGTAAACCACCACCACCACCACCACCACCACCACCACCACCACTACAACCACCACCACCACCACCACCACCACCACCACCACCACCACCACCACCACCACCCCCAACACCACCACCAACACCGCCAACAATGTGCACTCCACCTTGACCTGTTCGCATTTCGATTGCACCCTCACCTCACGCATGGGTCTGATAGGTCACTTGCGAATCCATCGCAGCGGGGCCGGCGAACCAGTAACAAGAGCCCCGACATAAACTCGCCGCATCCGCCTCCACTGCCCACGCAATTCACCCACTGAATGGGCCTATTCGGACACATGCGTATCCCCGACAGTGGAATTCACTGCAATATCGACACGCCCAGCACACCTTGCACACCTGGTAACTACCTTCTCTCCAGCATTACTTTAGCAACCGAAGACGTTGGAAGTAGCTCATACCAAGTAACATGAAGCACCGGAAATAACTCCTGGCTTAGGGCGAACTGAAGAGATTTGTTAGGCACGCCATTGCACTCATTCAGAAGAAAAGTTGGAAGAAGGATATAACGAGCCCAGATGTGTACAGGATATTTAAATAGTTAGTGCTGCGATGAAAGATGAGTTAAATCATGGAGGTGGTCCGTCTAGATGGGGAGGCGATACATATATGTCAGATAGATAACTGGTGGGGAGTGCAGCGCTGTGAGCAAATAGAGGGAAGGGCTGTGGTAGGTGCAAAAGTAGTGAGCGGGTTACGAGCGTTGCGGCGCACGTTTTAGGAGGGAGGTTGGCAGTTACGATAAAAAAGGCACTTAATATCTTCGCTGACTCGCGGTCACGCCATCTTCAGCCCCGAGTTAACGCCAAAATTGCTCACTCCATTCAAACAAATCAGTCCAATTCATGGGGTGGTACGCCGCCAACTCCCCATCCACGAGCGCCGACACCAGTAGCAGCATCACCACAGCAACCGATTCAACAGCATCCAACTTACCCTGCTCACACTACCATCGTACGTGCACCTCACGCATAGGCCTGGTCGGCCACTTGTTAATCCATCGTACAAAAACTGATGAACCTCTGTCTGGAGCACCAACATATACCTTTCGTCATCGCCTCAGCTGCACGCACTACCCACGGACATTCAGTCACCGCATGGGTCTACTCGGCCACATGGGCATCCATAAAAACCTGTAGTAAGACACCGCCTGTCACCCCCCCCCCTCCCCTTCATCATATATCTCCGTACCAACACATACACCACACACGAATCCGTCTCACATAAGCCACTGCAGGCTCGGACCAAGCACCTTCCACGCAAATCAGAGACGTGATCCTCGGCTCCTTCTCCGTTTGGTCTCCGAGGCACCCTAACGCATGTGAGACCTGAGCAGTCTACCCCTTCCAGCGAAATCCTGTTGTACTGCTTGAGGTGCCGCGTCAGGCGTGTGGCAACAGCAGAGTGACTGTTTTCAGCCCTACTAACCACCGCGGCTACTCTCAACATCAGCGCGTTGACGGACTCCGACAATCGACTGGCGCAATGGAGAGGGAAAAGAGAATAGGGTCGACTCTCTGCTCATGTTCTTAACTACACACAATCTGACGTGCTTAGATCTTTCACGGTGAGCTAAAGGCTGCGGCTTGAAAGGCGACCAGCTAACGGAATAGCCCGATTGTCAACTCAGGAGGGAGATGAAAGCTACGATGACTCCTAAATATGGCCTTTATGAAATTTCAACTCAATTGGGATACGGCTGTCCCTTCCCCATCTTGTTGCGTGAAACTTTGGCCCTTTATGAGCGATTTTGGAGGTATGGTGGCGCGCCTAGCTGCGGGCTCCCACCATGCCAACCATCTGGGTCGAACTCGCCTCCGGTCTTCTTGACTCAGTTATAATTCAGGGCCCAAAAGCGTTTGGATGAGAACTGTGGTGGATGAAGCACAAGTCCACTATCCTCATAAACTAATTTAAGCGCGAGTCACCGTACCTGTGCACACCTTACTGCGGGGCGTAGAGTGGAAGGCGTTAGAAACGGCGGTCGAACTGTCAGTCCGAAACGGGTTTCAGGATTGCGGCTGAGTTTTTGTGAGATATGTATAGTAACCTATCACAGCGCGCACAAACAAACCAGAATTGACCGTTCCCGTCTCCCTAAGCGTTTTTTCTCAATAGTTTTCTTCTACATATATTTCAAATCGTTGTGCGGCTGCCTGAGAGGAAGATAAGCCAGATTGAGATGGCCATTTCTGGCCTACCAGGCATCTTCATCCAGCCTTGCCCAACCCCAGTATGGCTGGGTCTAAGGTTCCAGCCCGTCCTCCTTAGTTGTCCAGCGTTATAATGACGAATCTAACTGTTGTCCTGTTAGTATCCCCGACCACAACCGACAGGGCAGTGTGACGTGCTCATCCAGTTTTGCTCTAGGGCTTAGTCCAGAGCCCTGGCGGGCAGTCGCATAGCGACTATGCATGCTGAGTTTGGTGTACTGGCAAAGACGACGGGGACCAAGATGACCATTTCTGGCTTATTAGCCATCGTCAGCCAGTTACATTTAACTTCGGTTTTGTGAAAAACTGGGACTCGATCCCGCGGCCTGTTGGTTAGAAGTCCAACGCTCTGACCATTGCCCTGAGGCACAACGGGTCGAGTGCGTTCCCTAACGCATTCAGTGAGCGCCTTCACCCTCTACCATTGACTGAATGAAGGCAAAAAACCCCGAAACAGTTCTGTACCAACCTACCTCCCAGACTCTGTCACCTCGCCTCTGCTATCATTAGCTTGGCCGACTTCGGCCTGGCAGGCCGTTGCCTGTCCGTGAGGCCTGTCACCCATACGAACCTTGTTTACTGCGCGAAGCAGGCATATTTGTATCGGACTCATCATTCCCCTAACAATTCGATGGAGGAGTGAAGGCAAGTTTATGAAGGCAAGTTATACATGTACTGACGTTTTGGGATCTTCTCTGTTTCCTCATCAGAGTTGCACGGTTGCTGTTCCTGCTGGTGTTTATTTATTTAGCCCTGCCGCTTGTTTCGACGCACGAACTTGGACCTCACCGAGGTTGGCCGCTGGTGGACTCGCGTAACGTCCATCCCCTTTGCAGCAGTTCCATTTGGAGCCAAGTCAGCGATCTTGTCGTCCTCCGCCTCGTATGTCGTTGGACAGATCGGTCGTTGCCCTCCGCGCAAGTTGCTTTCGGCCTCACGGACGCGGCTGTGAGGTAGTTCCACGCTGGTCACGTGACCTCCGGCAGGCTCCTCTCTTCTTTTCCGCTGGAATCAGACGTCAGCCCTCCATGAATTTGCTCGCCTGTCCTTTTGGCTCTGTCCAAAATTATTCGAGCCTTGTTTGTAGCGCCTGATAGACGGAATTCAGATCTATGGTTCATTTAAATGTGCCAGTCGAAGACCAAATTTCATACATCAGTCTGACCATCTTTGCCTTAGTGCGGCCGATCGCCTTTACTTTCTCAAATGCGAAACTGTGGTTCTGTTGGCATCAGTCCGGACTGATCACTCCGCAGGCTGACGAGAGTAAGGCCAATAAGTACGCTAACAAACTTACAAGTATGACGGTCGTAAATGGGACGGAAACGGCGCGAGCCCGCCAGCAGCCGACCTCGGAGAGGTTAAAGTTGGTCAGCAGCAAACGGTTGCGGTGAAGGCGTGGGACGGTGGCCATTAACGCAGAGCTTATTTGTAGAGTGCAGAAGCAAACTCCTACTCGGAAGATCTGGCGGCAAGGGCGCAGTATGCGACCCCACTCAGGAAACAAAACTAGGTCATCGTGTAATACGAGTTTTATGGGTGGGGCAAGACGGCGGAAAGGACAGCGCGATAGTAGGTAAATATTCGGACAAATGTTGATATGGCATATCGTGTCCTTGCGCTGAATTTATCTGCAGCTACTTGCAAAAGAGCATACGTGAGAGAAACCTGATCACCGAGGAGTGGTGAGAGTACGAAGACATCTGACACTGTAAGCAAAAGTTGGGTATTTTTCGCAGTTTCTTTAGTTTGTTTTCACAAAAGAAATGGCTTACATTCCACCTAGTTACGAGAGCGGGGTAACGTCAGTCATAAAAAATGCGAGGACGCAATATATCACGATGAACTGGTTTTTGTTCCCTGAGTGGGGGCGCATACTGCGTCCTTGCTGATCTGGATGCGAAATGGGTTACTTAAAGCTACATTTCAGCTGGTGAAAAAGTAATAAATTACATTTACTGACTGGATAATAAAATGCCTCTAGTGCAAACCAAGGGTAGACGGGCACTTTGTTTTTGATCTTGTGAATACTTACTCATTCGATTTAAATGGCAAGTTACAGTAAAAAATATGACGCGGGGATTGGACGATGTTAGCGGACAAAGGAACACAGATGTTGCTAAGGAAAGAGAAACTATTCAGAACACAAAGAGCTTAGGTTCACTCTTTACGCATAACAATTTTGAAACACAGAAAGTCAGCGTTTATTTAATGAAAGGCGGCATTGAAGTTTGCTTTCAAAATACGGCCTAAGAAAATAGTCGCTTCGGAGTGCGGCGCATTGTTAGGATGATCGACGTGCACTCAAACCTCGAATGCAGAAACTCCGAGGAGAACACATCTTTGAAAACCTTTGAGAACACAAAAAAGTGAATGTCAATTTCAAAGCAAAGTTGCCATCCATTGCCTATGAACATATTTTAATGCCAGCTCATAAAGGTTGGTGATTAGAAAGATTTATTATGTAAAATATACGCATCTAGAATTTTTTGACAAGTTCATGCATAGTGACCTGCAGATAATCAGGACACATTAGGTCAAAACGCTTTGGCCCTGTGAAGTGGCTGTCCCAACAATTAAAAGTCGTCGTGGGAATTAACACATACTGACGTTTCGGGCCAAGTCTGTTGCACGTAAGTTTAGACAAAAAGGTCACCATTGAAAAAATAATAGTCACCTATGTTTGCAATACCATCTTAGTGCAACCATCCCATTCGCAATACTTTGCACTGGGAAATCTCTGTTAATTGCGAATGTAAAGGTTAGTTAGAAGGAAACGTTAATCGGGGTTGGTCGGACAATTGTGTGTAGCCTGGACTGTGCAAGGCGAAGGAGAGATTCCTGTTTTACGGGATCGGTGGGAAGGGGGGGGGGTTAGGGTGGGGTAAATGGGGAACCCATCGAAGA